ATATATATATATATATATATATATATATATACAGTTCACTCCTTGCTTAAAGTTTCAAGCGTTCTTCTCTTTCACCACCAAAGAAATTTTTTTAAAAGGAAAGAAATAAACAAGAAAATAAATTAAGAAGAGGTAATCTATTACCTCTTCTGGAAGGAGATATGAACAACCAGTCCAGAAATATCTGACTGCAAGCTCAACTGAGAAGTCAGTCTGGTGCAGCCTTTACATCTTCCTTTACGTGCATGAAAGCGTAGTGCGTCGGGCAGGACAGTCCTCTCTCAATTATTTTTTTCACATTATAGCTGATCATTTGAATAGACTCCAAATTTAACTGGTGTTTAGGGAAATAGCTGTTCGTCCCTGAGACAAAGGACTATTTATTTTATAAGTTTAGCAAAATGATTTCTTTTCATCTACAGAGCTAGAGCTTAAATCAAATCCTAATCAAATCCCCATAATTCAAATGACTTAATAATTGTAACACAAGCGTTCCTAATTGATAAGTAGAAAGATGACCCAGTTAGTTAATGCTTTCACACTGATCTGGTAAATTTTTAAAATAAAAGATGGGCTTTTCTTCAGTGAGAAATTCAAAACCTCTTCGCATTAGATCCATGACACTTCTTCTCAATAATTTTTCAATAGATTTCAACTCAAAGACAACAAACAGGGTTTAGCCACACAGAATATTAGCTTTACAAAGTGATATACTTTTTCTTCAGTCTTACTGTAAGCTAGCTCGTACTTATGCAATGGCTGCAGTATTATTGCATGGCTTCTCCCATTGAGCCAAACTGTCACTGAGCAACTTGTTTGCATAATCGTGCTACCACAAGATAACATGGCTTTCTTCAGAAAAAAATCCCCAGTGTATAGGTAAAACAAAAAACAAAAACATACAGCATGTAAGTGTTTGCTGGTGATTTGTTACCTCACTAAAGCAACACTTACAAGGGCTACTGTAATGAATAAGTGTTACATAATTCAGCTAAGCAACTCATGTAAGGTACCAACTGAAGTATTTTGAATAACTTAGGGATTCTACTAAAGAATGTTCCAATCATATTTAGTCCTCAAAGGAAAAAAAAACTGCATTTAATAAAAAAAAGGGATAATAAAATTATTGACCAGAGAAACAATCCCTAATACAGCTATACTACTAAGCTAACACTTATACCCAATAAGAATTCATGGTCTCAAACTTGGCTGGGCCTCAACGCTAACCAGCGACCGTTCTGTTCCCTTTGCCTTTCTTCTCTGTAAATTTTCCATCCTTGTACCACTCTCCTCAAGCTTTCAATCTCATCTCTTTTCTCCTAACTCCCAGAAGGTAACCTCATCTCCAATTTCACAGAGAATATAGAAGCCAACAGACAGAAACTTCCTCAACATTGTGTTTGCATCTTTCCAATGCTGGCCCTATGCAATGTGTATCTGTACCCACTATCATCTTTCATTCCTCCATTCTCAAAATGTCCCCAGCCTAAATACTCAAAGAGACAGCAAAACAAAGCACTGTTCTTCCTTCCTTATTTCTACTATGACTTGAACTACTCCTCTTTTCCTTTCCAACTGAGAGCAGAGGAAATGAAGAAAAAAGATTCTTAAAGAATAGTGCTAGATTAGGGGATTCCTATGCTCCCAAACTTTCAACTCTCTTTTGGTGATATTTCAAAACATGTAAGTGGTTCTATAGCCTTTTAAAAGAAATCACAAAAATGATTCTAAATAGAAATCACATATAATACAATTAACTTCATTTAGGTCTTTCATTAAGAACATACCCTCCCAATCAAACGTAAATTCTACAAGAAAATACTTTGTTTTCAAACAGATATGGTTTCCCGGAATGCATTCCAGCACACTGTTTAAAGGTTCTTCTTGAAGAAATTCAAAAGGAAGTCTCTCAGTTATTCATCCACTTAATCTCACTTATGCAGCCACCTCTGACACAATACTAGTTATAAAAGTAGTGAGCAACATTACTTATACCCCAAAAGTGCTTCACTACCATTCATGTTCATAATGGCTTTACCATGATTCGGGAGTCTTTTTTCTTTTCTTTTTTTTTTCCCACCAAACACCAACATCTGTGGTCACACTCAGATAAAATGTTACAATCAAGCTTTAGCATCTAAATATAGAGGGGAAAAAAGAAAAATATAAATACATTGATATTTTATTTTAAAGGACTTCAGTTCTAAATTACGGTAAGAAAAAAAAGAATGAACCAAAAAGCAATGGAGAAAAAAAGGTGAGAAAAAGAGGAAATAAGAATAGAAGAAAAACAGAAACAGGTACAGAGAAAGACAATCTAAGTTGTTTTACCTACTCCTCACTTAGCTAGTTCACTGTACTATAATTCGCTCTCCATGTGAATTATCTGATTAATCACGATTTAGAGTCCTTCATTCTTACATTTTACTTTCCCTAGAGAGTGAGATCAGTACAATATTAATATGGCATCCCTAAGCTGTAGCAGAAAACAAAACATTATTTTCTCTAGTGTTTCACACTGAAAGGTTCATTTTATTCCCAGAAAATCTTTTCCTAATTATAAAATCAGTTAAGCCAGAGCCCCAAAACCCAGTTCACAATTTTCCAACTCTGATTCTTCTCTGTAAATAGAAGAGTATCAGGAGGCAAAACTAAAAACACTGAGGCAGAATAATTAGAGTAAGAAAAATATTAAAAGAAGAGGACATGGGAATGCAAGCTGGTGCAGCCCCTCTGGAAAATAGTATGGAGGTCCCTCAAAAAACTAAAAATAGAACTACCCTGCGACCCAGCAGTTGCACTACTAGGCATTTATCCAAGGGATACAGGTGTGCTGTTTTGAAGGGGTACATGCACCCCAATGTTTACAGCAGCACTGTCGACAATAGCCAAAGTATGGAAAGAGCCCAAATGTCAATTGATGGATGAATGGATAAAGAAGATGTGGTATATATATACAATGGAATATTACTCAGCCATCAAAAAGAATGAACTCTTGCCATTTGCAACTATCGTGGATGGAACTAGACAGTATTCTGCTAAGTGAAATTAGTCAGAGAAAGACAAATATTATATGACTTCGCTCATATCAGGACTTTAAGAGACAAAACAGATGAGCATAAGGGAAGGAAAACAAATACAATATAAAAACAGAGAGGGGGACAAAACATAAAAGACTCTTAAATATGGAGAACAAACAGAGGGTTACTGGAGGGGGTGTGGGAGGGGGGATGGGCTAAATGGGTAAGGGGCATTAAGGAATCTACTCCTGAAATCACTGTTGCACTATATGCTAATTTGGATGTAAATTAAAAAATTTTTAATTAAAAAATTAAATTAAAAAAATTTTTAAAAAAGGAGAGGACATTATGATGTTTGCCTATGTATAAAGATGACCTTAAAGAAAGAATATAAATAGAAAAAAAAAACTATTCTACATTAATATAAGTAGGAAACTGAAAATGCTGTTGCTATTGTCCTTAATTTTCCTCTCATGAAATTCCCTTTCATGCATACATAAGACAAAACAATTCTTCATCCTCTTTCAATACAGTTATCTAAATACTATGCTGTGTCAAAAAATAAAAATAATATTCCTCAAGAGAAAAATACCTGGAAGAAACTTTGTGCCTTATAGTTACTTTAAAAGATGGAACCTTCCATAGAGTCGGTACTTTACAGACTGATGTGACAAAATAACATAAAATATAAGACACCCAGAGTTCAATTCCTCCATGTTTGTTCCTCCACTGAATAATAGTTCACACACTTTTTTTAGGTGTTACAACATTTAAAAGTTACATTAGTATCAATTATAGTTGAGATATAATTCACGTTTATCCCTACCTGAGAACTCCATCTACTTGATCTTTGGTGTAGCCTTTTCCACTTTCACCACTACCAGATATGCTGTCCTTCGTGCAATTAGGCTTGTTTTGGTCACCACAACCTGATGGTTTTCGGCAGTGAGGGCTATTTCCAGCCGTGCTTCCATTTTTCATAATTATTTCCAATAGTGCTGTGAAAAGATAAAGCACACTATGCCATGTAACATCATGTACATACATATGATCTTGAGAAGAACGTTATAAAGCTGACAAATTAAGAATCATGTACTCCGAAAGAATTTAACGTAAGGCTCTTTTTTTAATTCCTTTATGTACTTGTTTACACACCACTAATCATCACTTAGAAGCAGAATATTACTAAATTAAACCTAAAAACTCAAAATTACTATCACTTAATTCCTTATGACATACTTTCATTTGTCACATCATGGTGAAACTACAGAATACCAAAGAAAAAGAGATAGTCTTTAAAGAAGCCAATGAAATTATCTACAAAGAAACAGAAATTAGACTTCCTCTTTATTTCTCAACAACAATAATGGCCGCTGAAAGACATGGGAATAGTATCTTCAAAATGTTCCGGGTGAATAACTGTCAAACTTGAATTCTGCACTTACTTTCTAGAAAATGTGCAAGATTACAACCATTTTCAAAGAAACAAAAACTAATAAAACTCACCACTAAGATTTCACTAGAGGATACTGTAATGTATATGTTTTCGGAAGAAGGAAAATGCTTCAAGATAGGTGAAAATGTGAAAGGGAATGGCATGCAAATACTGTGGTAAATGTATGAAAAAAAATCTAAACATTGAGTCCATAAAACAATAATATAGTTATGTCTAGGATTTGCTTTAAAGTACTGGAGGAACATAAGAGGGCAGAGAAAACACATCGGCCATATAAAAGATGAGAGGGCAATAGGAATTGATTATACTTTTCTCTTTCCTTTTGTGTATGCTTGAAACTTTCGATAAGTTAAAACTAAATAAACATGGGAAAAAAATAAAAGAAACAGAAATCCACCCTGATGATAAAAGATTTTAGTATATTTCTGTTTAACACAATTTAACACAATTCAATGTCAGTTATTAACTGACATAGGGTAGATGAAAAAAATCACCAAGGATACAAATGATATAAACATCTACTTTGTCAAGCTTGAGCTAGGAGACATAACATTATCTCCAACAATTGGTGAATATTCATTCTATACAGGCACACAAAGAATAAAAATTGACTACATTATATACTTAGACCATGTTACTGTCTTTGAATTTTTTTAATATGAAATTTACTGTCAAATTGGTTTTCATACAACACCCAGTGCTCATCCCAACAGGTGCCCTCCTCAATGCCCATCACCCACTTTCCCCTCCCCCCATCAACCCTCAGTTTATTCTCAGTTTTTAAGAGTCTCTTATGGTTTGCCTCCTTCCCTCCTTTTTTTTCCCTTCCCCTCCCCCATGGTCTTCTGTTAAGTTTCTCAGGATCCACATAAGAGTGAAAACATACGGTCTCTGTATTTCTCTATATGACTTCTCTTTGAATTTTTTAAGAATTAATCATATGTTCCACAATTGAATGAGCACAATGCATTTAAGTAAGAAATCAATTTAAAAATTTAAGTAGCAAAATCACAAATGGGTTAGAAAAAAAATTGAGACAACTCATGTATCAAAGAATTAATCATAATAGAAATGAAAAAATAGAATTGAACAAAAATGAACATACTACTTATCAGAACATGTGGGTTAACAAATGGAGTTGGGACAACTGAATGTCCACATGCAAAAAAATGAATTTGGATCCCTTTGTCACACCATATACAAAAATTAGCTTAAAATAGATCACATACCTAACTGTAAGGGCTAAAACTATAGAACTGTCAGAAGAAAATATAGGAGTATGTCTTTATGACCTTGATTCAGGCAAAACATTTTTAGATAAAAGTACATGTGACAAAAGGAAAACAAGAGAAAACAGACTTCATCAAAATTAAGAACTCTATGCTTTCAAATAATATTATCAATAAAGTAAAAAGATAATCCACAGAAAGGGAGAACCTATTTATGAAATCATGCAAAATCATGCGTTCTACAAAAGACGTATACCCAAGAGAAATAAAAACATACATCTACACAAAAACTGGCTCACAAATGTTCATAACAGCATTGTTCATAATAGAAAAATATTGGAAATAATCCAAATGTTCATTAATTGATGAATGGATAAATAAAATGCGATACATCAATATAATGGAATATTATTCAGCAATAAAAAGAAATGAAGTATTGATATATGCTACAACATAGATGAAAGTGAAAGAAGCCAGTCACAAATATTGTATGATTTTATTTATATGAAATGTATAGAATAGGCAAATGTATAGAGATAGAAAGTAGATTAGTCATTGCCAAGGGCTAGTGGGGAGAAAAGGGTGGAATCAGGGAGAAATGAGGACTGACTGGGGTGCCTGGGTGGCTCAGCTGGTTAAGCGTACAACTTCAGCTCAGGTCATGATCTCATAGTCTGTGAGTTCAAGTCCCGCGTCAGGCTCTGTGCTGACAGCTAAGAGCCTGGAGCCTGCTTCAGATTCTGTGTCTCCCTCTCTCTCTGCCCCTCCCCCGCTCATGCTCTGTCTCTCTCACTCTCAAAAATGAATAAATGTTAAAAAAAAAATTAAAAAAAAAAAAAGAAATGAGGACTGACTACTAATGAGTACAGGGTTTCTTTTCGTGGTGAAAAATTGTTCTAAAATTGTTTGCTGTAATGGCTGCACAATTATGAATGTACTAAAACCCACTGAATGGTATACCTTATTTTTTTTAATAACACGTTTTTAAAACTTATTTATTTTGAGAGGAGAGAAAGAGAAAGAGAGCATGGGAGGGACAGAGACAGAGGGAGAGAGAGAATCCCAAGCAGGCTCCGCACTGTCAGAGCAGACCCTGACACAGGGCTCAAACCCGTGAACCATGAGATCATGACCTGAGCTGAAACCAAGAGTCAGACACTTAACTGAGCCCCAGGGGCCCTGAAATGGTATACTTTAAATGAATGAATTGTAGGATATGTGAATTATATCTCAATAAAGCTGTCTTATTTATATACATATATATATAAATTTATATAAAATTATATATATATATTTAAAGATTTCATCAGTGTTGGCAAGTTGCAAACATATAGTTGTTTTATGTTTTATTTTATTCATATATATATATACACACACACACATATATATCTATATATCTATGTAGATAGATAGATAGATTTTTTTTAAGAAGAAATAGAGTGTGAGTGGGGTGACGGGCAGAGAGAGAGAAGACACGGAATCCGAAACAGGCTCCAGGCTCTGAGCTATGAGCACAGAGACCAACATGGGGCTCAAACTCACAAACTGGGAGATCATGACCTGAGCTGAAGTCAGACACTTGACTGACTGAGCCACCCAGGCGCCCCTATTTATATTTTTTATATATGAGTACTTCTTTCAACGTATCTTTTCCCTAGTTAATGCATTCAAGAGTAAATACATAAGAAATTCAGTTTTTATAATATCTAGCTTTAGACAATACAAAAAAGTTCTTAGACACCAACCTATTAGTTACTAACAAGATAAGTGTAACACATGTTATATAGTTAATTGTTAACTATAGTTTAGTTTGTATTTAATGCATTATAATGTTAACACTGAGTGCAGAAGCCAGCATGGTCTAGAGATTAGGGGTTCACAACTTTTAAATGTGAAAAATGTTGTGAGAATTCTGGGAAGAAGGATGTGACAGCAGCTAAAAATTTTAAATCTCTGCCAATTCCCTCATAAAGTCTGAGCAATTAGATAGCAAAATCAAAACCTCATACACAAAATCCCCAAATCCCAGAAGGGAGGGACGAACCACCAACAGCTACAAGATCTATGTGGGTTTTGCCATTGGTGTTAACAGGACATTTGCTAAGTCCGCAGAACAAAAGAACTCCAAAATAACCTACAGGGACTTTCTATATTACAACACATAAGACAAAACTGAGGAAAGCATGTAAAAAGAATGAGTTTTGCTCACTATAGTAACATATGAGTGACAGGACCAACACTAAACTCCTACAGGCATATGGGGCGCCTTTCATTTATGGTTTTAGATTTTTTTTTATCAGAAACGTTTTCTCTAATTATTGTTTTATTGGTTTTATTCCCTTGCTTTATTTTTCTTTTTCTCAGGACTCCTATTATATGTTTGTTGGATGTCCTTTAACCGTTTTCAGTATTTGCCATTTTTTCTATTTTTTTTAATTTAAAATTTTTCCTCCTTTTAATGCTCTCTTTTGCTTACACAACATTAACTGTAGTTTATTAATTTTTCTTCTAGTCTTCTTTTTTGATTTTTTTCTTTTCATTCTTATTCTTTCCTCAGTTTTATCATCTAAGCTCTGAATGAATAATTTTAGTGGTTCTAATTCTAATTTATGGTGTACTTTCGTATTGTTCGTAACTTTTTAGTCTTTTCAGCTTGTTTTGAAGTACTGGTGTATAGTGTTTACCTGTTTTGTTGGCAAGTCTTTGTGGTGTATTTTCTTTGTCTTTAGAGACTTATTTTATTCCTATTTGCTTTTTTTTCTTACAATAACTTTGTATCAAGTTTCAGTTCTATCATTTTTTTATACTCATTTTTTAAAGTCATTTTTATGTTAGGGTAGTTAGCTTTTCTAAATACACAGAGATCCTTCTCCAGTTTTTGGGTAATGTTTGAAAATACGGCTCCTTGCTATATAAGATCTCTTCACTCCTTTCTCTTTCCCCTCTTTATCTGGAATTACTCATTTCTTCTATTGCCCCTGCTCTCTTCAATTGGGTCCTGTTCCCATCAGGTTCTCAGTATGGCTTTGTTCTGGACGAGATTTTTCACTGACTAGTTTTGAGAGTTTGCAGTGACTGGAGTTTCTATAACTGTAAGAGTTTATCTTACTTTATTTTTTAATGTTTATTTATTTATTTTGAGAGACAGAGAGCAAGCGTGAGTGGGGGAGAGAGAGGGGAGGAGAGAGAATCCTAAGCAGGCTCTGTGCTGTCAGCAGCAGAGCCCAATGCAGGGCTCAGTCCCACGAACTGTGATATTATGACCTGAGCCAGCATCCAGAGTTGGATGCTTAACTGTCTGAAAGGGCAAATC